TGGTCTAAACTTTAGAGGGAAAAGTTTATCCTTTCTGTGTTTTTTCTTTAGTTAATCTTTCTGTCACTTTGTTATCACTTCATAGGTAACACATCAATAGCTGACATGTGAATATAGATTTTAGGGGGAGAGAGCCAAGGGAGCCACATAACATGATTTTGATCTAGTTCACTGCAACCTACCTATTTTAAGCAAAAGAAATCTCACACGTCCACATGGTAAAAAGGCTCACTCACCAAGTCTAAGGATTCAGAGCCAACACTCCAGTTAGTAACACCAGGAGCACATTTGCCTGGGCTCATCTAGTCAGATCTCTTAACCTAGTCAACTTTCTGTGGCCATCACTCTTAGCTAATTGCTATGGACTGAATTGTGTCTCCAGAAAGGTATGCTGAAGTCCTAATACATGTGAACATGACCTTTGAAGATCTTACCAGTTAACATGAAGTCATATTGAAATACCAAAAACCAAACCAAACTCACTGCCATCGAGTTGATTCTGACTTATAGTAACCTCCTTTGGGTTTCCGAGGCAGTAAATCTTTACGGAAGTAGATTTGTCCAGTCTTCCTTCTGTGGAGTGGCTGGTGGGTTTGAACCCCCAACCTTCTGGTTAGCACTCAAATGCCTCAGGCACTATGCCACCAGAGCTCCTCATACTGAAATAGAGTAGTCCTAATCTCACCTGAATAGTGTCTTAAAAAAGAGGAGGACACACACAGAGCCAAAGAAGGGGATGATGGCATGTAAGGAGGCATCCACAAGCAGAGGAGTGACAAGGAATGCTGGCAACTACAATGAGCTAGGACACAGGCATGGAAAAGTTCTTCTGTCAGCGCCCTCAGAAGGGATTAATATGGCTAAATGTTGTTGTTGTGTTGTTATGTGCCGTCGAGTCGGACCCAACTCATAGCGACCCCTCCTTGGGTTTCCAAGGCAGTATCACTACAGAAGTACATTGCCCAACCTTCCTTCCGAGGAGTGGCTGGTGGGTTTGAACCAAGTCAAGTGCCTTAGGCACTATGCTACCAGAGCTCCTAATATGGCTAAATACCTTGGTTAATTTGGCAAGGAATTAAAGAAAACAGGCTAAGTGTGGTGAATACAAATTAACCAAGATTCTATTTGATAGGATTCTTGAATACAGTTGAATTTCTTTTACCATTAATACTACAAAATATTTAAATGTTACCAAAAAAAGTCACAAAAGGAAATATTACCTAATTCTTAACTTGTATTTTATTAAATACTACCATGAATTTTGATGTTTTATATACAATGCTCAGCTTAAATACTCTTAAAGGTAGTTTATATTAAAATTTATCTTCTACCCAGTAATTTGAAAAAAATATTAATTTTTCTTTTTACAAAGTACATGATACTGCAATTTAAAAAAAAAAAAACTAAACATTTTCTGTTTCTCAATTTCTTTACATTAAGAATCAAGAGATAGTAACATACTAGTCACGAGGTATAAAGTAAAGCACACCATTTATAGAATAAAAAGGCTATTACACAGGGGGAGGGTTAAAGGAAGCACATTAGTTGGCCCTCTAATCCGTAACAAATTTCTACATTTAGAAAAACCCAACTAATCTTATTGCATATAAAATTTTATGACAGGGTAACTTGCATTCTAGTTTCCTATTAATATTATATATTAAAAAAAATAACCATTTCTTCAATACATTTACTGAGTGCCTCATGTGTGTGAGGCACTGTTCTAGGCACAAAGGATAGATAAGTGAACAAAACAGACAGAAATATCTGTCCTCAGAGAACATAAAGATACACCATAAATTGCAAGACAAAAATAAAGTAAGAAAAGGAATTACTTATTGGTTTAAAAAGGCCAAGTGCCAAATGTATCTTCACTCCCCATATGTAATATTCTATATAAGATCAAAGAATGGAAATCCAGCCCTGGAATCTCTTACCTTAAATCTAAGCAACCACTTAATGCATAAATGGAGCAAATAAAAGGGTAAGGAAAAAAAGCATTGAAAGGTTAGTTGGAACTTCAGGATGTGAAGAGAAAAGGAAAAAAAAACAAAAAACAAGTTAAGCATTCAGCATTAACAAAATAATGTTTCAGTAGATCATAGAAAGAGTGGTTAAAGCAGAATGTGTCATGAACAGGAGTTTTTGTTTTGTTTTGTTTTTTTAATGAAATTATTTAAGATCCTGTTGTATTAAAAAACTCAATTTTATTAAAGATTTCTTCAAATTCTTAATCCCTATACACTAACAGGGAATACAGAGTTCCAAAGTATTGAGTAACACTTTACTTGGAGGATTTAAACAAGAATGGGGAGGGGATCATCTTTTTATTCTGTAAGCAGGCAATAACAAATTGGTTTATATTCTAAGTGCTTTTCTGGCATAAGGGTCTGGCAGCACCCTAAAATAGTCTATTAGCAGCTTTTTGCCTTGAATAAATCACAAAAAAATTTTCCCAATAATTTCACATCTTATTTTAATATGCTGACTAGTACAGCAATTTAAATGCATGTAGGTATCAATTTAAAAAATAAATATCAATTTCCAGATAACAGTTCTCATATCAAAACTCTGAGGACAAATAAAGATATTTTAAAAACAAATTTACACTGTACATTTTCTTATATCTAGATCTATGTTAAACTTAGATCTCAACTTATTTCCAGCCATAATAGTGTAGTATGCTTCAATTGGTATTAATTATTAATATAAGTAATATATAATTGATAAAGAAGTATTAATTATAACAACAGAAAATGCTCATATCAGAAGTAAGTCAACTGCATGAACTGTACAGTACAGTGTGCTAAATTTCACCTGTATGTGTGTATATATATTTATTCATTTGTTTATTCAAAGGCATGTTTAATATACCATTATTTTTCAAATTACTGATCAGATGCAAATTTTAAATAACTCAAAACTTAGCTGAAGCTCTGAATAGTTTAAGTGCAAACCCCAATTTAAATGAAATTTATATGCTTCTCAATTTTGACTATGACACTTTATATATAAACTAGGCACTAAAATACAATTGTAAAAGATACTCAAAAAGAGGACAAGCACAAATATTCAGCATATACTAAAACAGCAGCAACAAAGGAAATGATAACATGAGGACATTATGCTGAGTGAAATAAGTCAATCCCAAAAGGACAAATACTGTATTAGTCCGTTATTATAAAAGTTGAGGAAAGGTTTATCTATTGAAGGAAATTTTCTTTGTTGGTTACAAGGGGTGGGAGGGGAGGGGAGGGAATGCTGTTAGTTAGATAGAGATAAATATTGATTTGGGTGAAGAGAAGGGCAATGTACCAAATGTGAGTGACCAATATGGCAACATTGAGGATGAGAAAGACATAGAGAGGTACATGGGAGGTACAGACAACAAATATGAACCCTTTTGCATATACAGTACTGAGTTGTCAGTGAAGGGAAACATGGGTATATGGATGGATAGATAGGTGGACAAGCTAAACGATTAGGTATGTCTATGAAATGGGGAGTGTATCCAAGATCATATATAGGATTGGCACACAATGGTCCTATAAGTTTATGTGAATGATCAGAATTCCCAGGTGTACAGTAGAGCTGACACAGGGCAAGGTTGTGGTCACTGGTCACAGCCAGCTACCTAGAGGGACTGAGTAGTTGAACCTGCGGGCTTGGGACCATAGTCGCAGGGGACATCAAGCTCAATTGGCATAACATACTATACAAAACACTGTTCCACCTCCTACTTTGGCAAGTAGCGACTGGGATCTTAAAAGCTAGCAAGCTGCCATCTAGAGGCAATGATGGGTCTCTCCTCGTCAAGAGCAAAGAAGAAAAAAGAAAACTAAAATTAATGGAAACAATCAGTCCTAGCAAATGGTACACCATCCGATCTGCAACCTATACAACTATGAGACTAGAAGAACTAGATGGTGCCCAGCTACCACTGTCATCCACTTGGAAGGGATGTAGGAGATCCTGGATAGAGAGGGAGAACAATGTGGAACAAAACTCAAAATCATTTGGAGGCAAAAAAAAAGAAAAGAAAAATGAAGGTGGGGACCAGGTTTGCTGGTCCAATAGAGCCTGGTGGAACCACTGAGACTATGGCCCCTAGCTGCCCTTCAGGTCTGGAATTGAACCCACACCTGTGGTTTCCAGCCAAACAATGTACAGGCATGTGAGTTAAACATTTACCTCAAGTAGGCACACGCCCTAGAGAGAACAATCATGGGAGAAGGAAGGGCTGCTTATGCACAGGGAGATAGCTCAGGGCGCAGGAGAGTATGGAGGGTTGGTCACTGGGAAGAGGTAACTACAGGGAGGAAGTGGGAGGGGAGCTGTTGCATTGTGGTAAACTGTGGTCAATGACATGAGACAAAGTATATGTGAACTGCTGTATGGAAAGTGAATTTGCTCTGTAAATCTTCACCCAAATCACAATAAATAAAATAAATAAATAAATAAATTTTTTAAAAAAAGATACTCAAAATACATAATGACTATATATTCAAAAGCAGAAAAAATATTAATTCATATATTTTATCTACACTACTCTTACCCCAAAAACATGATAAAAATATTTTTAAAAAACTCAAAGTACATGTTTATTTATGTTGTTTTTAAAAACTAATGTCAAAAATCTGCTGATAAATTTTTGAGGTAAGGTAAATGTTTTAATAACATTGAATACTTTTTTAATCAATCATATTAAATTATTAAAGGATGAGAAAGATTACATCACATTTATTTACCAGACCTAGATGAGATATTATCATAACTAATTAAATGAATGCAATTCAAAGAGGATAGATTTAAACCTGAAGAATAAAGCACTAAGAAAAAGTAAAAATGATAAAACAGTTACAGTAGCAAGGAATCTTCAGAGCCACAAGTGGGCCAAGACTTGGCCTTCTAAGAAAGGAAAGATAAAAGCTTAATTTTCTAAACAGTTGGTTCAATTATATGTTTCTATTTCTAATAGCTTGACAAAAAAATACACCTACCTTTACTCCATGTCCAATATCATCTAGAATAGTATAATCGATAGGTTTTCTAATGTAACGAACTGGTCGTTCAAGGTTGGCTGGAGCAATAATCTTATGTGTCCTTGAAGTGTTTTTATTGGTAGTCAAAATACCAATTTCTCGTCTTGCAACTTTCTCTTTATGAATGTCAACTGTCTGCAAAATACAATATAAACACAACACAAAAATGTATAGTTGTAATATACAGAAAAATGAAAATATAAATGACCAGAGAATTAACACTGCTATCCTGATTATCAACTATAACTGCTAAATTTTCTCCTCTTTGGACTACTGATTTTCTTCATTTTCAGGTTAAACCAGGAGTTGGCAAATCATGACTTACAGGCCAAATCTGGCCCACCACTTTTTTAATTTCAATTTTAATTTTTTTTAATTTTTAAATAGATTTTCTAGAATAATTTTAAACTTACAGAAAAGCTGTGCAAAAAGTATAGCCATCAAACTGTGACTTACAGCAACCCTACGTGTGTCAGGGTAGAACTGTGCCCCACAGGGTTCAATGCCTGGTTTTTTGAAAGTAGACTGCAGGTCCTTTCTTCTGATGTATCTCTAGATGGACTCAAATCCTTTTGATTAGCAGCTGAGTGCCTTAACCACATGCACAACTCAGGGACTCCACAGTTTCCATCACAGTTGTTGTTCTTGGTTGCGACTGACTTGATTCCAACTCATGGTGACTCCATGTGCAGAGTGGAACTTTCTGCTCCATAGAGTTTTCAACGCTGACCTTTTGGAAGTAGAATGCCAGTCCTGTCTTCTGAGGTATTTCTGGGGTTCACAATTTGTGTTGTACTGTCTATGGATTTTGACAGATGCATATTGTAATGTGTCCACCATTACAGTATCATACAGAATAGTTTCAATGCCCTAAAATGACCTATGGGGGCAGTGATGGTTCAATAGCAGAATTCTTGCCTTCCATGTGGGAGACCTGGGTTCAATTCCCAGTCAATGCATCTCATGCACAGCCATTACTACCCATCTGTCAGTAAAGCCTTGTGTGTTATGAAGCTTGTGATAGTTGGAACTGTGTGTCAACTTGGCTGGACCCCAGTTCTGTGTGGTTGTTCCCATGATGGGATTGGATGTCTGTGTTCAGAGTGGCCAATCTGTTGAAGGGGAGTTTCCCCAGGAGTGTGGCCTGCTTCCAGTATATCCAGGGACATCCTGGGAAGAGAGACATACTTTCGTGGATCGGGATTCTGTTGTGCTGCCTACAACTGTCCGTGAGTGAGCAGTCCACTGTTCAGCCTGGAGATCTTGGATTCGTCATTCGTTAGAGTCAAGAGCCGGTGTACTGCCTGCCAACCTTGAGCTTCTCAGCCCCTGCGGTCACAGGAGACAGGAAAAGCCTCCAGCTTGACGTTTGATCCAGGGACTTTGGACATGCCGACTTCTGCATGTTTGTGAGCCATTTTCCTAAGATAAATTTCTCTCTCTATATATATATATAAGCTTTGCTGGTTTTTGTTTCTCTAGAGAACCCAGTCTAACACAATGCTGAACATGCTTCAGAAGAGCTTCCAGACTGAGATGCACTAGGAAGAAAGGCCTGGCGATTTGCTTCTGAGTATCAGGCATGAAATCTGATCGGCAACCAATCACGGGGATGGTGCAGGACCAGGCAGAGTTTCATTCCTCTGTGCATGAGGCCAACTTAATAGTAGCTCCAGTGTAGTGAGTTGCATGATATGGCTTTTCCTCCCTTAGTTTTTGTAACTCCCACCGGATTACTAGGTGGGACCATGCAAATATGGGTCAACTTGGCTGGGCAGCTGGTAGGAATTATTTCCCATAATAAGACTGGCAACTCCGTAGTAGAATTTGCTTTGAGTAACTGAGTAGCTCCTTTTAAACTCCTGATTGTTAAAGTCATCCACCTGGGGTATTTCTGTTGGAGCAGCAGGAACTTTCTGGGAAAATTTGCTCTCTCTCAGGTATGTAGAACTCTGATGATGGGATTAGTTAGCTTTGCCACTCTGCCAGGCTTAAAATGAGCCCTCCTAGAGGCAGATGGGGAATCTCACTGCCTGCTGAGACACCTGGCTGAGAGAAAGCAGTAGTGGAATCAACAGGAACAGGACAGAGCAGCAGGCTTACCTAGCCCACACAAGTAGAGGCCAGACCGAGAGGCCAAGGGCAACAGAGGCATGTTTAACGGCACAGCAGAGGGGAGATTGTCCTGATTGAGGAACTGTATCCTAAGCGTGTTCCTAAACTTGAATTGTAGCCTGCTGCTTCCCTAATAAACCCCATAATCTTTGAGTTCTGTGTGGCCACTGCAGCAAATTACTGAACCCAGCAAAGAGGTGGCGGGTGCCATGGGAGGGATGGTTAGTGTCAAGGTTGGTAAGAAGGGTGGAGGGTGACAGCATGTCTGGCCTCATAAGAACAGGCCTTGGGCTGCTGATGGTGATTCTGTCTTTCTCTTGTGTAGTTAAAGGAGGTCAAAAGATGTCGCCTCCTTGCCCCTTTAGCAGCAGCTAACATCAAATTTTTAATTTTAATGAAGCCTGACACAGCATTTTATTTATTTATTTATTTTACATCATGGTTTTGATGTTGTGTATAAAAAGGCATCATCAAATCCAAGGTCACCAAGATTTTCTCCTGTGTTATCTTCTAGAAGCTATGTGGTTTTGCATTTATACTTAGGTCTATGGTCCACCTTGAGCTAACTTTTGTGAATGATGTACAATCTGTGCCTAGATTATATATTTTTTCTGCATGTAGACATCCAGTTGTTCCGATGTTAACCATTTGTTAAAAAGCCTATGTTCTCTCCATTGAAATTCCTTTGCTCCTTTGTCTTTGTTGACTGTATTTTTTTGTATAGGTCTATTTCTGGGCTCTATTTTCTCTTCCACTGATCTATTTGTCTATTCCTTCACCAATACCACCACATCTTGATCAATGTAGCATTATAGTAAATCTTGAAGATTTACTACAGAGTAAATCTTAATGTCAGTCCTCTAACTCTTGTCTTTGTCAGTACTGTACTGACTATTCTGGGTTTTCTGCCTTCCCATATAAATGTTAGAATCAGTTTCTTGAGATCCACAAGATAACTTGCTGGGATTCTGACTGGGATTACAAATTGGGAAGAACTAACATCTTAATGACTGAGATTTTATAGTTTTCCTTATATAGATTTTATACATATTTTCTTAGATTTATATCTAAGTAGTTCTCTTTTACATTTCTAATGTAAATTATGTTATGTTTTTAATCTCAAATTCCAATTGTTTATTGCTGCTTTTTACAAATCAAAAGCTGAATGAAATTTACATTTTTAATGGTTGAAAAAAAATCATGACATGTGAAAATCATATGAAATCAAATTTCAAAGCTCATAAATAAAGTCTTACTAGAACATAGCCACATTCGTGTGCTTGCATATTGTTCATGGCAGAGATAAGTCATTGCAACAAAGACTTTACAGTCTGAAAAGACTGAAATATTTACTAACTGATCTTTTACAAAAAGGTTTGCCAACCTGCACAGTCATTTTCCCCTCGCCATTAAGATTTAGTCCAATATAATGACCAAGAAAGTCCCAGTGATTAATCTAGTTACATTAAAAAATAAGCCATTAGTATCACTTCTATTAGTGTTTAAATACCTTTTATGAAAAAAAGGGATGAGACTGAAATACAGCTACAAATGACCTTTTCATAGAAAAACTTGTATATGGGCAAAACCACTTATATTTCATCAAAACTCAACATGATTTCGACCATGTTTATAAAATATTTCATTTGTATTTATTAAATGCTCACATGGGACATAATTTAGTGGACAATGGCAATGTTTTTATTCTCACAGTTTTCTACTTACTAACAACATGGTGAATTTCTCTACAAACAGAGGCAGTTAATACATAAAACAATATTTTGAAAATGCAGCTTGCAATTTAGTGGGATATAATCGGTAATTACTTTAAATGAAACAGAATAAACCAGACACAGTAAAGCAAGCACTGTTTCTTAAAACATTTGTTTCTTACATGCATACACACACACAAATCGCATAGTAGATACAATGTAAAATGTTTGTTTTCCTTTTATTTTTACTGTGGGTTGTAGTCAAAAAATTTGAAAAACACTAAAATATGTTCACATCCCTTACCATCCTATCATTTCACCATTCAAGCAGCAATTAACAGATACTCCTCCCCACAACTCTTTCCTAGTCCTACTTCAACATCCCCTTTCTAAAAGGAGAACCAGGTAATAATGGAAAGAAAAGATAGTAACTACCTGAAAACTAATCATTTAGCCTTCTAAAGTGCTTAACATAAGGGAAACTTGAAACAATTCAAAGCCTCCTGCTTCTCTACAAACTAAACCAAAAAAACCAAATCCATTACTGTCAAGTTAATTTGACTCACAATTACCTTATCGTTGTTGTTTTTGCTGTTGTTATGTGCCATCAAGTCAGACCCCACTCATAGTGACCCCTCCTTTCTGAGGCAGTATCACTACAGAAGTAGGTTGCCCAACCTTCCTTCCAAATGACTCTTATAGGAGAGAGCAGAACTCCCCCATAGCATTTCCAAGGCTATAAATCTTTTTTGAAGCAGACTATCACATCTTTCACTTACACCACCAGGACCCCTTTTCTCTACAATTAACAGATCTTTAAAGCAACAGTATCTGTAAGTTTCAGAACTAATAGACACCGAAGTCAAGCATTAAAGACTGATCAAGGTAATAACTTTAAAATTTAAGTATCTCTTTTTTAACCCAAAAATAGTCTCTGAACTTTTCCTATGTATGGTAGGTAAATTATGAGGTTTGTTTTTCTTTTCAACTGCTTGGGAGAACTATGACAGAAAAAAAGAAATTTGCAAATCACTGAATGTGGTGGTTGTTTGTGTCAACTTGACTGGGTCTAGCTGAGTGGCTGGGCAGCTGGATGTAGTATTCCCCATGATGAGACTTAGGGATGTGGTTTGCTTCCCATATATAAGAAGCAGCTTTGGGAATGGTCTCTAGCTTATGGCATGCTTGAACCCTGCATGTAGCCAAGTCCTTGTTCAGCAGCCTGCCATGCTCTTCTGTCAACCTTGGGTCTTTCAATGGACTTAAATTAATTGCCTGCCGTGTGGTTTGGTAACATTGGGACTGTGT